TAAAAAGCAATCTCAGTGGCTTACCCAGAGTCCCATTTGTCCATCATGTCCATGGCTTAGAACAAAAAGCAAAATACAAATAAATGCAGATTGTTATGTATTTTTAAGTGCTCTTGAACTATCACTTTGACATTTCTAAATTGAAATAATTCGTGGACCAAATGTGTAGGGAAATACAGCTCAAAATGCAAGTAAAAGTTAAACGGTAGTAACTGGGGAGAGAATGCATTTGATTGAAAAGCCCAGAACAGCTGTGTCTGAATATAAATTGTGTATTTTTTGACGGATGATGTGTTTTTCCATTTCAATTGATGGTTTTGTGGCAAAGAAACAGTGAAATACAATGGAAATCATGGGGAATTGAATCTTGAAAGAATTTGCCCCCCACAAGCTCTCTGTCCATGCTCCTACTTTGAGAATCACTGAGGATCGTACATCCTGTTTGAACCAAAGCCGTGTTTTCGGGTAGGAACAGAGCATTGCAATAATATGAATATTGCAAAACTACTTTCTCCAATATTCTCGTACAGACAGAATCACACGCAGTTAGTACAGTAGAGTTTTGAGCCTTAACCATGGGTCCGCTCAGTTTAATTACAGAACAGGGCTCAGTCTGAAGAGAGATGACATATTTCTCTAAATGAAGGTTTGTTATTTTTACACTCAGCGGGGTGTAATGTACTCTGGGTTTCCTGGTTGTTTTTCAATGACCAGAGGGATTGGGCTGGTCCAGCTGGGATCGTTCATTCACATACGAGATTACCCAATTACCATCTCAGAGCCCCATTCACAGTTATGCACTTCTCCCACTGGGGGGGAAGACAATCTAGTGCTCTGTAATGCTTATGTTGACGGCTTGTTTACATGGGGTAGTGCATATGTATAATGGTGAAAACATGAAAACTAAACATGAAAGATAGATTTTATCAGTATTGTGAGATTTCATAACACTTTGAAGCAACTTTTGTTAAAGTTAAACTCATCATTCTATCAATGTGCAGAAGCCAGTGCTTTTCCCTTGTTGTGTCTATCTGAAGGCCAAGCTACATGGCACTGTGGCAGCTGCTGATTGGAGGTCTCCATGCCAACGCTCTGTATAATACACTTGCATTCTGTGTTCTTGTTGTTCGTGCTGTCTCTACCATTGACAATAAAACATGTCTTCTGTCTGAATGAAAGACGCGATCCCAGACATGTCATCTTCTTCAGTATCACAGGTGAAATGTTATCCGCTGCATTCGAGTTTAACTTTGCGAATGAGTCAATTACTTTCATCTTTTTCACTTTTTAACATTTCCTGTCTTTCGCACTACCTGACTGATACTATTTATGCCAAATATGACATGAATATTTCTCCATTGTGAGATATACACAGTCCATCTAATCTTATTTACTTTGAAAATGTTGCGAATAAATGAGAAAATCTTTGCGCAACAATATTACGTCTGACTCTTCGGTGTACTTCTGCAAGTCTCACGGACAAAAACGTTGCACCATAGCTCAGTTTGATTTGTGGCAAGATAACGACATAGATACGTTAGCAGTTTATCGTTACTGAGTAAAAATAAACATTGATTTTTTTGCTTGCATTAAAAATTACTTTTGAACGACGAATAACAAATGTGAGATGCTGTTGTAGTAGTGTCGGACTAAGGAGCCGATCACTACTGCAGGACTAGAAAGATAATGCCTTAAAAATGTGATTCTAAAATGTAAATTGTATTAAAAATATTGTTTACATTTTGAATCAATACAATAATCACAGGGTTAAATATTGCATGATATATCGCCGAATCATTATCTTTGAACTCTAATGCTCCAATGTGAGTGGTTTCTATTCTTTCACGTGTCAGCCATTGATAAATATACCTTAATTTACCATAAGTCGGGGGGGGGCACAGTCAAAAAAATGCAAAGAAAATAAGAATACAAATCTTCATATTGTTGGAACAGGTTTCACAGAATTCCCTTCACTTCTTCACTTCAAAAGTTTCATTTCAAAATCTGAAAATCCTGTGCTTAGTGGACAAACACAAATCTGTTAGACATTTTTTTCCAGTCCAAAAATTGTCTGTAAGTCTGACACTCACTGATACAGTTTGGTCTAATCACATTAACGTTGCAGAGCCGGGACACCCACTGCGTAATTATGCCCATTGTGGCGCTTTCCGGTCCCTCAGCAAATCCTCTCCATGTGCTGCGTAACTTAGCCGCTATCTGATATCCAGTTGACAGCTTATCTCCATCTGTCTGCCCCAATGTACATAAACATATATTGCACACAATCACACCAAATCCCACAATCATAACAATACATGGAATTCTAAACGCATTTCCTGAGTCCTTACATCAGCTTTGAAAACCTTTATCGCTCCTTGTCAACTATGGACCTAGACAAATACAGTTTAAGTGTCACTACAAAAGAACAATAAACAAATTAGTCTAAAGTTGAGTCTTCCCCCATGGCTCAGTTTTGGGAAGACGTGTTTTCTTGCTGGTTTTGTGTTGTGTTAGCCCGATAGCATCAGCGCTAACAGACACAATACTCCCGCTCCGACGGGAAAAATACAGGAAGTGGATGTGTTTATGATGGTCTTCAGCTGGGCGTCAGGTGCTGGTGATCCTGGTGTCCAGCTCTTGTTAATTGTAGAAAGAGAAATGGATAGATTTCTGTCTTTACAATGACATTTCCCCATATTTGAATTCTTACCACACTGGCAAAAATTGAAAATGTGTCTTTGACAACGAGAAAAGTTTGTTCTTTGAGTGAAGATTATTTAACAATCAAAACCTACTTAAAATTAAGACATAGATCATGTGATGAAATGAATGCTATTTATGTTCACCCCTTGAAGAAGGCAAAGTAATTATTATTTTTTTTCAATATAGGCCTTTGACAAATGGTTGAGATGCAGTTTGATGGTAAACCAAGTGAGATGCCACAATGAGGTAGATTTCAGTTCCAAGCTTCAAGTAGATATTGTGACACAAAAAGTGATTCACCAAATGGACGAAGAAACCATTAAAGGGTTAACACGAAAAAAATATTTGTATAAATGGGAATAAATATTTCTTTCTATTGACATGGTTTAAGGTAAATTCATATTAGCAATGTTCCGAGCAATGATTAGCCCCATTATTGTTCCCTGATTTAAAACGAATGGCTTGCTGACAGCCTGGGGAGGACAGTTTGTGTAAAATGAATTGCTTCGGAACAAACAATAAGATCCATTAACCTACATATATTAAATGCAGTCCCACTAACTAGCTTGGCCCCCTGAGTCATCCATCACGGGATATTTTCCAAAGCTGAATGAGAGTTTTGGGCGGGCAGTTTAGAGGCATTCACTTGACAATGTTATAAAAAATTCTTCAGAAAACAAACCTCAATCATTCCCAAAACAATGACACATAACCACACACTTGCTCTTATAAACACACACTCTTCTCTGCAGCCAAACTCAAATTAGCACTCTTCGTTCCAGGAATGCTCCCCAGCTCTTAGCACGAAATTATGTCATCCGCCCCTTTTACAAACACCACGTGCCGGCCGCGGTCTGGGGGCAGTGTCTGTTTGTGCCGTTGGCTTCTCTGTAGATCCAAACGGAGCTATTTTGATTAATGCTAAAGTTGTAATTATGTCGTATGTGGATGTTTGAGGGGATGATGTTTAGCACTGTCCCGAGAGTCCAAGCCATTGTGCCGTTTAGGCCACATTGGGCGGCATGGTGGCTGAGTGGATAGCACTCTCGCCTCTCAGCAAGAAGGTCCTGGGTTCGAATCCCGGCCGGACCAGGGCCTTTCTGAGTGGAGTTTGCATGTTCTCCCCGTGTCTGCGTAGGTTTCCTCCGGGTACTCCGGTTTCCCCTACCACTAAAAATATGTATAATAGGATTGGCATGCGCCTCCTGTTCGGCGACCCCGCTCCCATCTCTGTGTGGAGTGAGAGGACAAGTGCCCAAAAATAACAATTGTAAACCGCTTTGTGACTCTGGTCTGTGAAAGGCGGTATATAAATAAAGATTACTTACTTACTTACTTACTTACACATTGTTATTTTTTATGTAAACAGCAGACAGATATAAAAAGGATCAAGTTTCAGCCTAAAAAAAAAAAAACAAGGTCACGTAATATCATTTGCAACAACAACTGCTTTAAAACTGGTGTACCTGACTTATCTAACCACAAAATTAGAACTATGTAACAACATGTATTGAACTAGTTCCTTGGTCTCAAAGCAGTTTGGGTCCATCATGTATTTTAAACTTTTATCACATCTTTTACAAAATGTCGAAAGGACCACCCTCACTCAGCCAATCAGCTCTCAGCCAGAAGTGTACAAAAGATAACATGTTTTCTAATAAGATGGTAATAGCATGTTGCAGCCCTTTTTGCTGTAAGGTAAACAAAAACATAAAAAAAACATTATTAATGAATAAAAGTTAGGTACCACAGCTTTATAGCCTGGTCTACAACACCATAAGACAAATTACATTTCGTACCAAGGTCTGGATTTGTTCCATTGCGCTCTGTGAACAGGTGGGAGGGGCTAACTCCTTTTGCAGATTGAAACGATTGGATTTGAGTTTACTGTGACGTATGTAATGCGCCCAAGGGTGTTGTTAGCATTTGCATTCTTCGCCATTGCCAAACTTCAATCGGCCCGTTCGGCGCAAACTCTTGACATCACCCACATCTAACTACAACACCCGCCTCCCGCGCTCGCTGATTGGTCGGTCGAAATTCAACCGATTGTAATCACAAACACAGGGACCAGACCCAGACGTTACATGCAGTGAAATTATAATTGAGCGGAGTGGACGGATGGATAAGGCCAGGCTAACAGGTTTAGACAGTTTCAATATATTAATTCCCTGTCCAACCAAATTTGTTATATGACTGATGGGAAATAGTGCCACTATTGTAATCTAAAGAAAACTGTAGTAATCTACTATGTAATTATTTACAGCAATTAACACATCTTTAACCACAGCCAGTACCTGGACTCAGCAATGACTCAGGGACAAAACAGATGAAGTCTGCAGCAGCGTCACGCACATCTTTGTCCTCATCCTGCAGCAGTGTGACCAGACTCTTCCACAGAGAAACTGTTGCATCGAAACCTACAGAAAAACATTTTATTTTATTCAAAAAAGGGGAAGAATGCAAGGATCATTAAGTTTGGGATAATATCAGCAAGCAAATACGAGAAGAGACCTGTGGCTTTCATAACTCAAATTTGAGAGGCAAAAGGAGAAAAATCCAGAAAACACAAGAACATCTTACCTACTGTGAAGCATGGAGGTGGAAACATCATGCTTTGGGGCAGTTATTCTGCAAAGGGACCAGGACGACTGATCCATGAAAGGATAATGGGGCATTGGCACAAACTGTATATACCACAAGGCTGCAGAATTATATATTGCACAGGGACTGGACTCCTACTGGTGCCCAGAGTCAGGACTAAACATGGGGAGGCTGCATTTCAGAATAATGCCAAAATCTGGAACGGTCTTCCTGAAAGTGAGAGACAGGCCTCCAATCTGACAATCTTTAAAACCAGTTTAAAAACAGTTCTGTTTAGCTGTGCATACAACTAAGGGATTTTATATTTTTATCTTTCTTTTTAATGTACTGTGATTATTTATGATTTTAATGCTTTCTTATTTTATCAACTTGCCTTGCCTTACTAGCAAAGTTTTTGTAAGTCACCAGGAATTTTTCCATTTGGATCTGGTAAAATTGTCAAATTCTGGTGAAGCCCTGATGTCAAATTCTAAATGTCAAAAAGAAAGACGGTGTAGAATTTGAACGAAGGACTTTGAAGTTGAAGTATATTATAAGGCGGACTTTGTGAAAGGTTTTTTTTTCCACATAGTTTGAAAAAAACAAAAACAAATCTTAAGTTAGTATATATGAAAAATGTATTTTATTGGTGTAGTTTAAGCTGCCGTCTTTAGTCCTGCTTTATCCACGACGTCTTCCAACCACGGGCTGAACCAGAAAGTGCCTTGCCTCGCGGATCTTGCCGTAGTTGCTGAGCCAGTAGGCGTGGACTCTCCGTCGCATCTGATCCTTGAGCTCCTCGGGAAAGCCACGATGTGTCATTAAGTCGTTCAATGTTGTTATGCAATTGACATAACGTCTTTTACAGAAATGAATTTGGATAGAAATGTATATCGATATCAACATTGACTGAAGCATCGCTTGGATCATGGTGACAAACCAGTTTTGCTCAAGGAGCCTTCTCTGGTCCATATCCAGAATTTTTAATACACTCAGGTCAAAGAAGCAGTTGATGCAGTTCACAAGCAAAAATAAGAGTTAAAATAAAAAACGAGCAGATAGACACCGAAAAATGGTTAATCTCCAACCACCTGGACAAGTACTGGAAGTAGAAGTTCTCCGGTCTAACCAGGAAGGGCAACAGCCTCAGTAAACGGACCATCCTCAACAGGCGTATCGGCGAGGAATGCGGCAGGAGGTCCACGGGCAGCACGGCCAGTACATCCACCAGAAACCAGCTCCTCTTGTATCGGACAGCGATAGAGGCGAGGTCAGACACGACCACAGAGGAGCCGAACTCGGAGAACGTGGTCCGGAAGTTTACCAAAATGTCCAGCATGAACAGCACTTGTATTGCCAGTGCGCTCAGGGGAGATGAGTGCGAGCAATCCCTTGTGTAGGTGATCTCCAGCGGGACGTTGAAAGAGACGTACACGGTGGTCACGATGAGAAGACTGTCCCACGCAAACTTCCTCAGGCTGGTGTGATCCACAAGGAAGCGCGGAGCGGTCAGTTCACGGTCTTCCATGTTCATTTAGAGAAAGATTCCAAGTAAAAGTAGCACTGAATTAAAGAACTTAACTGCCAAAGATTAACTGCCTTAGAAGAAACTGTTTTGTAAGATGCACCGTCTCCATAGCAATTTTGTACTCTTTCAAATATACACAATTATAACCAGAGCATCCCTGAAGCTGAAAGCAAAGAGAGAATATAACAAGAGGCAAAACTACATTGCAGTTTTCTCCCTCGTTTACTTTTGAATGCCCTGAAAACAGCTCTGAAACACTTTTGGTTTTTTGCTTCACAATTTGTTTTATTTGTATTGCTTTTTTCTACCTGAGATGTTGCTGCAGTTCAGTGTTCATGGTTTTACACTGGTCCAGACCAGAGTAGAGAGGATTCATGGTCCAAACCAAGCGGATCAGGCCAAAATCCACAAGAGGAATGCTAACTTTTTGAAAAATACTAATGAAACAATTAGCATTTTACTTTGGACTAGAGAAGAGAAAATTGTTCGAACCAAGCAGCTACTCCACCTCGTGACTTGTCCTGCTCCACCCAGCGGTTACTCCACCTCTGCTGCTGCGACCTTATTATCACTATTGTTAGATTTCCCCTACAGCAGACTAATAAAGTATCTATCTATCTATGTTGGACTGAACCAGAGACAGTTACCATAGCGACAGACTATACTATACAGTAATCACATTATGTCTGAAAATGAACGGAAACAGGTCCTTTAAAATAAATCCAGCAGTCTGTGTGTGAACAGAACAGTTTCTTGAAGCAGAGTCGCCTTTCTACAGACAAAAATTAAGTTTAGGCTAGATGAATGAACTTGAATGGATGAATGGACTCGCACAATTAGTGGCTGACAGTAAATTCAATATCAGTATCGGTGTAACCAAGACACAAGAAAAACATGTCAAAGATGAGCTGGACTTGACGCAATTCTCATTTCATATAAGAACACAGGGTGATATTTGTTTCTCTCAGGTTGAAAACACTGCAGCAATCTTGGCCTGTACCAGTATTTGGTGCAGTTTGGACATACCCAGAGGCAGGTGGGGGCTGGTGAGAACTGGAGCGGTGGATTGAACCAGGACTTTGGACGCCGTCATCTTCACCTCCAGTGGCTGCTCCTCGCTGCAGCCAGAGCACACCACAGCGGCCCACTCAGCGTAACACCAGGCTGCACCACTGTCCTGATCATACAAAGCAGATATAAATCATCATACACAGGGACTGGCCTCCTGCTGGTGCCCCGAGTTAGAACTAAACGGGAAAAGGCACAACCAGGGACAGGAGCATTAGATATACACTCTCTATGTGTCATATCTTTCATGCTGTAACTATGTATGACTACATAGGCAGCACTTCAGATTCATACAGCTAAAATCTGGAAATGTCTTGCTGAATTTGTGAGACAGGCTTCTTCTCTGACTATGTTCAAATCCATATGTACGGTGATTGAATATTATGATATATCTTGTTTTGTGCTGCACTTTGAGTTGTCTTGTCTTATGAACTGTGCCATACAAATATCCTTGCCTTGCCAACAGGTGTCAGATAAGATAACTTTGGCACCTAAAGGGTTTTTTGAATAGTCAGAGATTTTATTAATTCTTTCCTCTTTGTTATGCTAAAGTTGGAGATTTTAAACTTTCTTCCTTACTACGCAGGAGATGTTATGCTTGCTTCTTTAGTATGCTAAAGTTAGAGATTTTATTTTATATTAGTATACAGATATTGCCCATTTATCATGTGTTGTGTGCTCCTCATTCTTGCTGTTCTGTAACTGGTGATGCAACACTGAAATTGTGGAACGAAAACTTAAAATAATCAGAGTGTTTCCCTCTTCTAAATCAAGGTAATTATATATAACTTCATACCTCAGCTCTCCTATCCACAGATATGGCTTGTAATGTGGCAAAAAGTCATAACCGTCTGAAAAGTCTGAACTAACTTGTTGCAGTTCACATGTGTTTTATTGCCTTAAATAACAAACTGAGCCTGGCGTCCTTGAACCAGCGGCTAAACCTGCTGGGAAAGCATTCACGCTGAGGTCAACTGCAAGGTCTTCCCCAGTGAACAAAGAAAACTGAACACACTCTGTCTACAGCCGGTGTTTACCTGAGGCTCCGAGGTCACCGCATGAGACACCAGCAGCGAGAGGAGGGAGAGGGCAGCGCACTGAAGGTCCACACTGAAACACATACAACAGCTATTTTAAAGACAATAACAGTACATTTTATTTACAACGCAGCTTACATATGCAAACACATCTGAGTCTGGTGTGTGTGTGAGTGGTTGGTGGTGGTCAGAGGGGACAATGGCACATGCTGGTTGCCTCGCTTCTGTCAGTGTGCCCCAGGGCAGCTGTGGTTACAGTAGTAGTTGATCAGCACCTCTGGCTATATAAAACCAAAGCATTTATTATTATTATAACCCGGAGCACCTGGAGGAGTTGAATGATTCACAGGTCAACAGGTTGGTATCGCACCCCAAAAATATCTTGGTGTTAATGCAAGGGAAGAAGGTCAAAAAAAGAAAGCATGGCACCTTAACAAATAGATTTCCAAAATGTTTTAAGTTTTGCCATTTTAGCAGTCGTCAAAGAATGATCTAATCCACTAAATAAAATTGAGTGTGCAATGCCTTCTTGTTTTTGTGATGTCATATAGATTATAACTACAAAATATATCAAAAGCGCATTCTGCCTTCTTTAACTCATTGACTGCCAGCCGTTTTTGATGATTTCACTGATTCTCAAGACCCACAGAATATTATTTCCTAAGAATATGTTAGATATGAAACCAGATTCTGAAAGATTGGATTGTCTTCTTTGATCAGCAAAAGTAAGTTTGTTTCTAGCTATTTTTATCTTCCTGTAATCCGCAGTCGAGTAGAGGGTCTCGGACAAATACGTCAATGAGTTAAATTCATGACGTAAAAACACAAAAATGATTAATAGGGTGACAAGCTCTTTGCGCTTATTTAAAAATCTCCTCAGAACTATTACTGCACCCAACTTGTATAGACTTACCAACCACAATAGAAGTGTGCCGTTCCTCCTCCGCGATATTCAATCACTTACAGTGGGCAAAAGCAGCCAGCGGCAACCCAATCTGATCCCAACCCGGCTCTAATCATAACCCTCCAGCCGCTCCGAAAGAGAAAGAGGATCCTGGGACCAGAGATTGTGGCCAGGACCCGGCTTTGCTCTGGTGAAAGGCCTTTGTAACCCTATCTTTATGCAGGAAGCTCACTGTTGTTTTGGGGTGAGAAACCGTACAATGGCGGCCCGTCAAAAAAGGTGTGCGTCTGTCAGTGTGTGTTGACGGGTTAACAGAGGGAGTGAAAGCACCAGCACAGAGATGTTAGTGGTTTCCAGTGCGGCAGCAGGTGAATAAAAGAGGGATTCATTTTAGCATTCTGATCTGTTCATTATATATAGAATGAGAAATGTGCCAGAACAAGTGGTGTAGGATGACTAAAAAACGTCTAATCCAATGTGGCGAGTAGACCGACCATAATTCATGGTTTCAGGTCAAATAGATGGTTGACTAGAAAGAGAACTAATAGGAGTGTTTTATTAAGTATGCAACTTGCTTGGACTTTTTTACAGTTGCATTCATTATTCAACCCAAAATATAGACGAAAAACAATTGAGTCATTTGACATAAGAGCAACCGTCATCCTGATTTTGAGTTGCTCCTTGCCAATGCAGTGATGATCTGTGACGTTTATGGACATTTGTCATCCTGCTCCCAATCAACCAAAGGATCCTGGGTATTTATTATGCATTTCAAGTGATCGAACCGTTTGAGTCGCTGATCTGTTGAGCTGTTATCTAAAATAAATTGAATAGCATGTGTTGGAAAAATGCAAAACTATTGGGATTTAGTTTCCCAATGAAATCTCCACTTTTTGACATAATCTCATTTTACACGCAAAAAGTTGAGGTTAATTATTTCCTTTGAACTTCACATGTAAAACTATGATTAGCTTTCAAGGGATTGTTATTGCATATATTTGGCTCCCCATCGCTCTGGTCACAGCACACTTCCGGAGAGTTCTTTTCACTGTTTCTTGTGTGGATGTTAGCGAGCCCTCATGGAAACTGCAGGGTGTGTTAAAGAGATCAGCCTTACCCAGGTGCAGCCAGTGACCCAGGACGTCCCACTGCATGGACTGTGGCTCTGAATGAGGGGCGGACAGTGTACCCCATCCATCACGGTGAAGACGGGGTGAAAGACGAGAGGCGAGGGGATGTTTGGACAGCAGGTGTGTACAGAAGGAAGCGGGTGTAGTGCTTTTCGGGTGACAGAACCAAGAGTTGGGTTTCCACGACTGCAACCTTCACAGCAGAGGTGTCCAACATGTGGTTTACTTTCAGCAAGCACGAGTTTTGTCTGAACTTTCTGTCAAGTGCTAAGTGTGAGCCCCGAAGCAATAGGTTTGATGTTGTGTATTTTTTTTTTTTTACCAATGCCAGTGAGCTGAAAAGAGCTTTTGGGATAAACAAATGGGACTTTTATTGTTCACACATGTTGAATAGGATCTATGAAATATAGTCCAACATTTTCTTTATGGTAAGATAAACATAATATTGCAGCAAAAATAGCAAAAAGTTGCTTGAAATAGGCTAAATGTATCCTAACTTGAGTCAATTTCAACTTAAAACAAGCTTTTCCACTGGTACAAGATACAATATTCTCTCTCGGAATTACATTTAAATGGCCTCTACTTGAAATAACAGTAATAATAAAGATACTAAAATACATTGTACTTATATAGCACTTTTTGGACACTAAAAAGCAAAAATAAACAGGTAAGTTGCATTTTTGAGCATTGATTTGAAGTTCTGATGTGAGTCCGAGTTCCTGATGTGTTGTGGGAGTGAGTTCCAGAGAGAGAGGGCAGCTGCAGTGAAGGCTCAGCCCCCCAGGGTTTGCCACATCGTCCTGACGGGAGTGAGAAGGATGGATCTGAGGCGGCGGGATGGAGGAGGTGAGAGGTGAGATATGATGAGGCCAGAAGGGACTTGTGTATGCGGTATGGAACGGGGAGGCAGTGGAGTCGTTTAAGGATGGGGTGAATTAAGTTGGCAAAAAAAGTACTCAAGATAAAAACCTTTCGTAAAACCTGTACCAAACAATATAGTTGTGCAAGTTCATACACTGTGGCAGTATTTGTTATTTTCAAGAAAAAATAAGCATTTATTGTCAATGATGGTCACATTTAGAATCCTTTCATACTTTTTGTCTTGTGAGCGGTGAGCCCATAGTCACCATGGTATGAAAATGTTCAATCAAGGCTATTTTGGTAGTTAATGTTAAAATTATGGTAAAAAGAGAAAAAATTGCTTCATCCAACCATTGTTCATAATTTCTGAAGTTATGTCTTCTTCTTAATGCTTTGGTGTAAGTGGGGCCTCTCCATAGATCTACCCTGTAACTTGGCTGGATGACAGTCAATATAAATGAGTCCTGTTGAATCCTCCACTCAGGCCTCTGCCACTACATGAACCATTCAGAGCCCTGCTGCTATTGAAATCCCTGTTATGCAACTGTGGCCGTTGAGGAGCCATTGATGTCACATGTCATTAGTTTGTGTTTTGTCCTCATGTCTGACCTGTGTGCAGAGGTCTTTGTGAGGGACAGCAGGCGTTTATGAACCTCCTCCTGGGCCATGATCCGGCCCCCGTCCTGCCACAGGATGGGCCCAGTGGAGCCGAGCGCACACAGCACCTCCAGGACCTGCGCAGACAGAACATGCAGAGAACATGAAGAGAACATGTGAACGCGTGTCTGTCAGTGGAGCTTTGGTGTCCCTCCGCAGCTGCCAAATGCTCGAGTATTTTTACACCGGTCGGATCCTCCCATCGCACGCCCAAACCACGGGTACACAGCTGCCCAGGGCTCACACAGATACAGACTTTGCTACTGCAGCAAGAAGAGCACTTATCTAGGACTAGACAGGATACGACAGGATACGACATATTCAATCAGCCGATAAATGTGCAACAGTCTTTCACATCAGTCCGAGCTTCTCTCTCTTCATAGTCCACTACATTTGAGTTTTACAGCGTTCCCATTAACCTACAACAAGAGAAAGGCAGAACCTCAAGGAAAAAATTATCTTTCTGTTAAACAGAGAATCATAAAGACATTTGGAGACATAGTACAACTTTTTAGTTTATAACCATGTTGCAACATTGTCCCCTCATCAAAAGCAGACCTGCAGTTGTTTTTAGATCCATCCACAATCAGGAGCCATTGGTCCATAGGACCGGGATGACCAATGATCATAATTGTTCATAAATGTCAATAGATTAATGTACCGCTCATCAATGTCCTTAAACCCTCCTGCATCGGCAAAGAACAACTCAAAAACCCAGTTTAGAAAGAACTGAGAAAACTCAGGGAGGCCCATATTGAAAGAGGGATCTGCTTCACAGACTGACAGGCGATAGATCCAGGACCATAACTAAACAGGGCACCACCCATAACAGCCTCAGTCACAGTTGACTCAGTTCACTCCATCGTCACATGCACAGATGTTTGTAACCTGAAACTTTTCATAATTGATGTGAATCTAGAACTGTATTGATTATTATGTTTTTCTTTATTTGAATCCGGACAGATCTAACAGCATGCTGCCTGCATCAAAGCTGATAGCTCATTTGCTGCAGTAATAATTCATCACAATTATTTTTTAGTAAATATCGTCTTCTTGTATGTCCTCCAGCCGCTTCTGCGTGTGAAATTTTTAATCTATTATCATTATGATAATAGTTAGTTAGCAGCCCGATTCTGATCACAAAGTTGGTATATCTCATCAAGTGAATCCAATGTGTTCTCATTTGAATCTGTGAGAGACGGTGTATAAACATAAATCTCCCACATGTACAGGATATCTATACACTTCCTGTCTCTTGATTTTCTTCTTTACCTGGTCACTGCTCCGAGCTTCTGGGGAGGCAGCCTTGTTTCATGCCCCCCTTTTAAAACACACATCCAGTCGCGCACACATGTTGACATTCCTACGGCATATCTCACTGATTATTATTTCTTTCTAGGCCTCAACCTGTTATTAGAGCTTTAAAATAAGGCTAGCTTTATGGGACGGGTGAGGGAGGGGTGAGGGAGGGGTGAGGGACGAGCGGCTACACGCAGGGCATAAACAGCGGTGTGTGCGTGACTGTATATTTGAGCTTGGGGCAGTAAAAAAAAAAAAAGGTGCAGAAGTGAAGCCCCTCCAGTGTCTGGTGTGTGGACAGTGTGACCCTGTTAAACCAATACAATAATCAGTGGTTAGACCCGGGCCTATAAACTGGAACATGAAAACATTTGGCTCAAACAGAGTGGAGCCCACGCACTGGAGGATCTACGCGTGTTTTCTCTGTACACTTTGCTTTATTTGAAGACTTTGCCCCCGTTTTTATGTCCGTATAATAAGAATTTTATAGGCCACATTAAAGATGTCTAGGATTTCCTGAAAGTTGTCGCAATATGGAAGTAGTGTTCTAAATGAATGTGTTCTTAAAACGTTGTACAGAGAAAAAAAAGGTGTAAAAAAGACAACTGATCCCATATAAAGACGACCACAGCCCACATTGCAAAAGAAGATACTGTATTTAAAGGTATATAGGAGGATTTTCCAGAATTTTAGGAAAGAACCGCCTTCTCCAGTTTTGAACAAAAACTGGTATTATTTGATGAGCACGCATCACCAGAATGACTGACGAATGGGAGGACCAATCGTCTTGATGATCCACCCGGAAGTAGAAAATCCTCCAAAATACCTTCAGGCAAATGAACATCACCTTATCTAATTTTGGGAAAAAATACAAAAATACATGTTGAAGAAAGAAGTGAGCTGACGAAACCGCTTCACACATCAAATCAGCGCCGTGGTAGAAGTAGAAGTACGATATTAGTAGTTAGTTTTTAAACTAGTTTTCAAACTAACTACTCTCTAAGATAAAATCGTCGTGCTTTTATTTCTTCTCGTCTGGACTACGGTAAAGCACTTTACACTGGGATTCCACAGAAGGCACTTTCACGCTTAGTCCAGAACTCCGCGGCACGGCTTTTAACGGGAACCAAAAAAAGTGAGCACATTTCTCCGGTTTTAGCTTCTTTGCACTGGCTTCCTGTTAATTTTAGAATTAATTGATTAAGATTTTACTGTTTGTTTTTAAAGCTTTGGCTCTTCCTTACATCTTGGACCTCATCCAATTTTACCACTGCCCCGCGCGCTGAGGTCCGAGGGCCAGCTCCAGCTCATGGTACCTAAGACGAGACTTAAAACCCGGGGACAGGGCCTTCTCTGTGGCTGAACCAAAGCTCTGGAACGGCCCCCCCCCCCCCCCCCATGGCAAGACAGCCTCATCTTAAGACGTATTTTTACTCTCTGGCTTTTAACACAGCGTGAGTTCTGAGGTCCTCTTTTTATTTGTTTTATTATTATTTTATTAAATGGGATAACTAGTATTTTATCGTTTTTATCGCATGTTTTTAGTTCATTGGTGTTTTGTTTTTATTACATTTGTATTGTTTTTACTTGTTGATTTTATCTCTGTGCAGAACTTGAAACTTGTAATATAAAATGTGCGATATAAATAAAGTGGATTGGATTGGATTAAACTTGTGCACAAAAGACAAACACAATAGGATAATATATATATATGTAAATCTCAAAACAGATAATTGGCTCCAAACCCTGCCACTCTTAACACAAAGCACACACATACACTGAGACAGGACCAAGGGCTTCCACTTCCACATTACAAAATAGCTCCATTTGGGTTATTTATCCTGCTTCTAATAAGCAATTTGGTAAAAGTCCAAATTTTAAAGTCTAGATTTCATAGGACAGATACCCAATCATATTTTGGTGCAGGATTGGCACAGATAATCAGAATCCGTGTTGGAGCATCCAGACCACCGTGCAGTCGCCCTGTTTGTGTTAATGTAGACTAAACAATAGAGTGAAGAACAACACAAACTATTTGGTTTGAGCCGCAAGTGAAGCTGCAGACAAGTGCACACTTTCACCAACGTCCCAGTCACTCGTTTCACTGTTTAACTGGGACTTTGTGGTAGACACGTTTACAATGGTCTCCATCAATCACTCAGGATGCCCTGCCAAGCTCCTGTCATTACCCGGTTAGCATTTCTCTACTATAAAGTCCGTCAAACTTTACACAACGAGGACAGTCTCAAATGTTTAGGCTTTCAACGTAAGGTTTTATTAAATATTAGGCGTAAACTGAGTTAGGGTTAGATTAGGTTCTTAAGCAAGACTGCTCAAATGCAACATTAAAACAGCAGGAAAATACCAAAATAGACTAACAACTAATGCAAGAAACGGTTTATGTGTTTACAGCGGTGTCATAGAAAGCTAGTCTGAGCTGCAACAGACAGAACCCATATCTTACCATACAAAAGACAGATGTATTCTATCAATCTATACAAGTGACTTATTCAAACCTCTACAGCTAAATATCACTAAATAACTGAGAAAATGTGTAGAGAAAAGTAAACATAATGCAAAGATGATACAAATTGAGGCCTGAAATACACTTTTGTTCCTGCAGTTGAACGATAAGCCAATTATGCTAGACCAACATCCATCCAGACTAACAAAAGCCCATAAAGACCGACCCAAACACATAAGAAAAGGCGACATCATTTCTAACACAGCTGGTGCAAGTGCTGACTCTTTTTTACAACGTGTTTTAATGAGCTGCCGTCCCGCGACACACACACTGCCCACATACTCAAATATACAGGAAAACGCAGCAAGTCAGGCGTGGACGCGTACAAGAGCGCACTGTAACATGCAAATAAACGTGACGCCCACCCACAGCGAAACACACGCACGCCAATCACACAAACAAAATAAATGAAAAGGTCCCACTCCAGCAGAAACGTGGCTCTCCTCAAGAACTGGGGCCCCGAGAGGCTGGTGTTTGCAGGGAGGGCCACAGCTAAGATGGGGGTGAAGCAAACGGATTAACATTGGCTTGTTGTATTTCTTAGAAGTATAAATAATTCTATCGATTATCGAGTAGTTTAATTCCAATATTCAACGTTAAGGTTGTGTTTTTGTTCCGACGCAAAACACATTCTGCTGACTGGAAACGTAGTTGATGTGGCCACGTATGCGCATGTGCAAAACAAGATGACAGGATTCAATCAAAAGTAAAATTTGAGATCAATATTGAGATTTCAAAAGTACCAATTACATAATATAAGCAGAGCCACAGGTGTCTTAGATTCTCATATAGCAGACAAAAACATGTTATGTCTTTTTAAATGATTACACGCTAAAGTAGTTCATTTGGTCTGTAGCGAGTAATCTAACTCGGGACATTGGCTTCTGTTACACTTATAATAATAACTATCAGTAACGATTTTCATTGACGGGTATAGCTACATTATTTTGTGTTTGTACTGTGTAAACGTGACAGCAGATCATTCTGTTTTGCAATGGTGGTTCAAAAATTATACAGTGCTTCACATAAGAATTTTTAATGGGACAAAACTAATTTACTTTTTTACAATTCAATAGTTACTTTGGCAGGTTGCTTTGTGACTTTTTCCCGCACACACACAGTTACTTGTTGGGGAATAACTATGACCAAATGTTTTTTCAAAGGCACTTTCACAATTCTGACTACGTAGGATTTCTGGTGGAGGCAGGATCTCCATGAACACAAAAAAGGGAACGCCCACCACCACAAAAGTGAAGACAGTGCATCTTTAAAAAGTCCCTAAAACAGTGTCACTTGCTGGGCCTACTGCTGCTTTCCCAGAGTGCTTTGGAGCAGCCTTGGGTGAACTATGGCAACTGTCCTGTTTGCTTCGGTGTCCTTGGAGCAGACGAAGAGTTTTAACGGACGGAGAATGGCTCTTCGACACTCAGACTTGACCTGAGTCATCGCCGTCTGTGTGTGCACCACAAAGAGGATCCAGACACAAAATACTTTTAGCGCAAGACTAAAAACAAGTTTCAAATTCAGTACAGAACATGCAGAGAATTGATATCAAAAGAGGAGAAAATAATGTTAAAATATAAAAGTAACCAGCAACTATATCCATCAGTATAGACGCTGGAAACATCTTAGTCTAGACAGATATCAGGCCTGTGTGTGTGTGTGTGTGTGTGTTTGCGTGTGTGTGTGTGTGTGTGTGTGTGTGTGTGTGTGTGAGTGTGAGTGTGTGTGCTGTCTTGTACCATACGCTGTTTTTTTTTTTTTTTTTTTTTTTTTAAGAGTTTTTGCGATTTTTAAGCAATTTTGTCCTAAATAGATGTGAGTGAGGTTTGGAAGCTTATAAACTTTTCCTTCGTCCAACCCCTTTTCAAAACATGTTCGTGTGTTTGATATTTTGTACTGATTGAGAGATACTGCTTCGTATCCATTGCTCACATTCACTCATGCACACAAAAATACATTCTAAATGGAGGAAATGATGAGCACATTCATTCCTCAAGTAAGAATACTTCACACAGCTCACCTCAACATTTGTTCTGGCGTAAACAGACTATTTTTCAACATATACCAGTAGACAAGATTTTAGTGTGAGTTGCCCGAGTACACCCCAAGCATTTTACCATCAAGAGAAATACAGGGTTTTTACTTAGTCAAAACAATGGAGAAAGCCTTTATAAACAAATTAATATAGATTTTGTTGACATTTTTCAGTTCAAACTCAAATGCAGGATGTCCACATGGCTTATCCGCCTCCAAAACTGGTTGGCGCCCTTCTCCCAGCGCTCTGAGTGCGACTGGGGGAACCAGCGCAGTGCCAGTAAGTTTGGCGTTGCCCCTAACCTCAATTACATTCTCACGCAAGTCTGTGCAAGATGAGGTTTTATCAATTAGTGGTTCACAGAAACATGGAAAACAGATTAAAAGTGTTTGTTAGAAAAAAAAGTCTGAAGAGAAGGACAAATATTGCAGGATTTTTTTATGATTTAATCTAATCAATTTGGGAATGACTGGGAAAAACAACATTGCAATTGTTTTTTTATTTGTTTGAATAAAGTTTAACGATTACAATGATTGAATCAGATCATGGCTTATGGGAGACATTGTTTGAGGATCTCAGTCTGGGCATCTCCGCTTCAGACCGCTGTCTCAGCAACACGGCAGTGGATAAAGGGGAAGAACACGGATGGATATTGCTGATGGGAACAGCACTTTAATTTAACTACATGCAATAAAACCAGAGAAATGCTAACGTGACTCTTTTATTGCTGTCTTTTTTGTTTATGTTCTAATTTTGGGATTTTCTATTCTGCTGCTGGTGTATCAACAATTCTGTAACACCCTTTGAGATTACTGTTGTTGTGATTTTGGAAGGTGCAAAAATAAATTGAATTGGCTGGTGGCGAAGCGCCTCCCAGCAAGAAGACTGTAGGTTCGAGTCCCAGGCAGCATGGGGACCTCCAGTGTGGAGTTTGCATGTTCTCCCTATCAGTTTCCTCCAGGTGCTCCGGTTTCCTCTACCACTAAAAACATGTTCAATAGGTATGAATGGGCTCCTCCCGTGTACAGGCGACTTGTTCAGTCTCTGTGTATGGAGTGAATGGAAACATTTACTAAACTGTAAAGCTATTTGTGTCTGTGAAAAGCACAAAATACAAACATTAGCATTGGCCAGTTTCTCAACATTAACCTCTCCATTAACCAGACGGTTGAACACATTATATAGTATACACATTATATGATTAGAGCAGGAAGCAAACTCATTGGAAAAGTTACGCAATGCCCTTTAAATTCTCTCCTCCATTAAACCTCGGCTGTTTCTCCCAGAGTTTGGACACATGGGCTCATTCACACTGTGTTTTTACAACCGTTGCTGCTGTGGCTTTTGTTTTACTTGATAATAAAGTGTGGACCTGGCATCAACACAAAATGGTTGGACGCAAGATTCTGTCTGAAAACGAGAAAACCAAATCTGAAACTCCCACAGCAAGACACTGGGCGTGGGCAACACAAGACAACAGGTTTCTTACTACTGCTTAATAAACAAAAAGTAAGTCAGAGAACGGCAAACACTTGGAATGCCTTAAAAGCGGGAGTTTACGGAGAGCAGGCGTATTCAAACAAAAGACAGTTCATGTATTTGGTGAAGATGGAGGAACAAGGCGCTCTATGAATAATAAGCAAACACGCAGACAGAGAGGGGCAGTGTGTGGTCCCACCTTGGACAGACAATGGGGGTGTGTCTCGTGAAAGGCCCGTCCCGTCAGGTGGCTCAGGGTGGTCTGCTGCAGCCACTGTGAGGACCCCCTCTGCTGGAGCTGCCGCAGGAGAGCGTCCAGAGCAAGACCACGCACCTGAGGACAGAACCAGGCCGAGTGTGAGACAGAACTTTAACATCTTCAGAGTTTAGCAGGGTATGACTGGAACTATTATTATCGTTGTTGTTGAAGACAATACAATAAAAAAGAAAAAAAACATATCTGTATGAATAAAATTCAGAAAGGAGTAGGTAGAAGTAAAACTTATTTTGTGGTATTACAAATGATTCAATTCTATAAACAGAAAGAAGTTAATATTACCAAAAATAGTCATATTTTAAACACCAGTGATGTTCTAGGATCTTGTTGTCATTACCACGGCTTATTCTACTTTCTGTAAGTCCTACATCGTGCAGTGCAATAAAAAACAGGAGGAAGTCGTCAATTTTAAACAACTGCTTGATTAGATTTTAATGTGTAAATATATTGTGAAATCATATTAAAGTGAAATGCACTGTAAGTGGTCGAATAAGGTCATAAACCTAGTCAATAAATAAAATTAAACTGAAAGTCGTCATTGTGACCAGATTTTTAGGATACTCTTTGAATAATAATGATTATTGAGGACATTATTACACTATTTCAGAGGGAAGAGTGTGTGATTAAAATATAATCTGAACCTACTAAAAGGTAAAATAATGACATGCATTATTCTTCTTCTAGTGGCTTGTAGACTGGGTTGTTCCATTGACAAATATTTGTCAATGGAACAACCCAGAAGAAAAGGATTTATAAAATAAATAACTGCACAAGGTAAAACATAGGCCTTTTTAGACAAAGAAAATGTAGATATTGCCTTCAATAAAAGGTCACATGTTTTGACCTCATGAACCTCTTACAGCAATGAAATCCATATGTAACAAAAAAGCAAAAGCAAAACATTAGATGGATAACTGAGAAGTAATGTATTTGTTTTCTAGGAAACCTTTTAATGTTGTTTTGTCTAACCTCATAACAGGGCGAACTCAGAAGACTCTCCAGTAGTTGAGGTGCGTGCGGAGTGTCCCACTGCTCTGGTTCTTCCACACAGGCAGCCAGGGCCACACGGGACAGGCTGAGCAGGAGCTGAATGGAGCCTGGAGCAGGGACCAGAGACTCGGGTCCAGAGACCAGCAGCTCGGACTCCAACAGGACGGAGAGCGCTTCACGTCGCAACTCTCTGACCTCACCATCTGAAAGAGAGACAAAAGAGTACTGGATTATTGTATTAATCAAACAAAAAGATTGACATGTATCTCAATTCACTTCAAGAATTTCAAGAATGTATTTACCATATGCAATAAAACTGTGCAAGACTACCCCAGTGTGCACCAGACAGAAGACGGCACACACCAGAGCTCTTTCCACACAAAACATTGGAAATATATTAACAAACAACAATATTGGACTCTGTAACCAAGCTTTTTTTAAACTAAAATGTGCTGTCTCTATGCCTCAGCACAGGGACTACGAATGGAAACTAGTGAGTAGCCATGTCCGCTCTGCAAAATGTATTGTGCAATGTCCCTGTCAACTAATTAAATAAATAAATAGTGACATTTGTAGAACTGGCTAGGGCTGGCACAGGTTGGTGACAAAGCTAATTAACAGCTACGTTTCATAATGTCCCAGTTTAGCCAATTGTAAATTAACTGCATTGTCCTGCAGACACACAGATGCCAAATTCAATCGGCGAGTGGCATGTGTGAATATGGCCTCCTGAACATGAGAGGAAGATAAAACTTACACCTGGAATAGCAAAAATCGTCATGGGTATTGTTATAAAGCACTAACGACTATCTTTTTGGATCCAATGTGGTTATTTCTGGTGTCAATTGAAACTATCTTTGTATAATACTAAAAACAACTGCTACAAAGTATTTCACACGTGCACAACAAAAGGTAAGAACACTTTTCTAATGCCTTAATGTATTTAAAAAAACGTTCTCGGTTTGGGCCATCACATCTGGTTCTGTTTGTAAACCCGTTTCGCCCTGTGCTCAAGCATCAACACGTTTGTTTATTTCTTAATTCTTCATTTAGTCCTGGGAGAGTAAAGTCCTGGATTGAACATTCTCCCAAGTTTAGTGGTATTAAAATTATTCTTTTCACATTTCCCCTGATTTGACCTTGTTGGAATGGAAATCTTATACTTGACGTGAAAAGTTCCTCTTAAAACCCAGCTCCTCCTCTTCACTGAACCACTCTGGAAGACAAATCCAACTTTGACAGCCAACTCAATTAGCTTTACACCATGTACCCACAAACCCACACGAACACGCGCACACACACACGCACACTCGCTTGCTCAGTGGGGCTTATGAAACTCAACGCAACTCAATCTGGCCCCAAACTTGACAAAAGAGCGGGAAGTGCCGCATTCCTCCAGAGATGGGCCAAGTTACTGTGGAACCCGATCCTCAAAGGGGGGTCCGCGGGCCAAATAAGCATGGCATAATGGTTATAATAGGGGGCAGGGGCGCAGTAATGACACCGTGATGAGGGGGCCGTCCCGAGCAGGAGAATGGGAGCGTGTCAAACTCAAAACGGCTGTCTGTCATGGTGGACTGGACCTGAACAACCCCATGCTGTGTGAAAAATGTTTACGTATAGCACTGATTTTGCTCTTAAGTCGGCGTGTTATGGTTATAGTAAAAGTACATGCTAAAGCGATGTTACGGGTGAGCAAGGAGAGACTTTGAAAGCAGAATATAACAAAAAATGCATGAGAAAAAGGCTAAAAGTTCAGGCTTATAGTGAAAAACACAAGCAGACTCCTAACTTAATCTATGCTTTTGTTGCTTAGTATTAGATGGAGCCACCACTGGTTAGTTTGGCAGGCTGTGACCATAGTTACAGGTCTGAGTTAAAAAATAAGGAACCACAAAAATAACAAAGACATCAATGACCATGTATAATAGGATGTCATTAAGTTCAGAACTGGTTTGAACCATTAATTCTGCTGAACAAAGTATAGTGAAATATATAGCCCAATTAAAAAACATGGAAAACCACAAGAAAGACTTATTAGAACTGGTTGTTATTCTAGGACCGCGGCACTTCGACGACTCGCAGTGGAATCAAAGTCAACTGTTGAACAAGCGTACATGTGCGCATTAACGTAATAATCTATAATTGTGTGGAGGGTTTGTGATGTGGTAAAAGGTTAGCGGAGTCTGAAGCATGTGTCTCAGTTACTGCTTCAGGGGAGGCACGTTTACACAAAGTATCTTAACAATGATGAATGTTTTACTTTTTACTTATTAGTAATCAATTCTGTAATATTAGAAGACTAGTACAGAATTCTGCTGTTGGCAACCTGTTTGTAGGGACCATTTTAAATACTTCCCGCTGCAGTCTCTTTGATATTATGGTTCTGTAAATGACTGAGATTTTTAATTTTAAATATTTTTTCTGATACTATTGGTTCCCAAAACATAACATGTCTGTCAACCTTGTGGTGTAGACCTTACAGAACGGTTCAGTCCTACTCTAATCCATGAATAGAAGCAATAAAAAGAACAAATATGATGACTTAAAAACAACACAGACTGGGCTGGGGTTACAATTTTGTGTTTAATCTTAAATTGGCTACTATGAGGCATTTTTGTGAAAACATGATCTTGAGAATATTTACCATTTACTTATGTGAAATAATGTGAAATAGTATAGAAAACATATTGATAAAAAGTTTCACGTTTTTTAAAGTAGAAAATCCTCTTCAGCAACGATTTACCTCCATCTAGTGGTAGAAGTGGGAAATTACATTCTGCTATTTTCACAAACATCCAACAAACTTTATTTACAGGAAATACTTTTGTCTTAAATTTCAGAAAATATCTCTCGGTCCATGACGTTGTAGTCTACGCATATATCAAAGCCTAACATGTTTGAGATAAGAACATTTAGACAGAAGGAGCAGGGGTTTGTGTTGGAGATTCCGCATGATGGAGACGGAAACAACTCTTGGCATGTTTTTTGACAATCAAACCATAGTAGGGCCGCAATTTAATTATAATAATTGGCCCTTTTTGGCAGATATTAGTAATTGTTTTATCAGGGAAAACTACAGAATCATCTGTTTTTTTACAACATTTGAACAAGTCCACTGAAGGTAAGCAAGTCAAAGAGATATCTGTTGGTCCGGGACATTTGGAAAGTCTCAAGTGAGTCGTCCTTGTTTCACACACGTCCAACCAACTGTAAAACACACATCGGAATGAAAAGCGTTGTCAATGTATTTATAATGAGGAGAGAAGTTAGAGTAGTTAGCCCTGCCTTTGTAAATGTAAATAATATGAAACTGTTAACAGCACTTCTATACAATGGAGAAGTCTGATCCCAAACCGTCATCGTGCTCTCCACCTGTGTTTGTTTAACATCTTAAACATGAACGCTTGTGTGTGCAAAGCTTTAGAAAAATGCTCTACAAGAGAAAGGCAGCTGTGGTCGACTGGAACGGAACCAGGCCAGAAACACAGGTGAATGACACATGCAACAGTTCACTCACACGGATTAAATATGGATTAAGCTTTGAACAAGTTTTGTGCCTCTTTGTTGGCTAATCGTTGACTTGTAATGGTACAGTCAATAACACGGCGGTGGATTTGACAGCGTGTTGAATGAAAGATAGACACCAGAGAAAAGAACGGTGCTTCACAAATACTAAGCACTTTTTGGGACCAATTATAATTTGGTTTTGTAATGAGTACAAACAAACTTGCAAAGCTCCAACTGAAAGATGAGACAGAGGCACATTCTCCTTGCAGCTAGTTCACTTTTACTGCTATGAAAAATGTATATACAGGCTGAAAATCCATGGAAAGTTACAGAAACATAAGGGAATACCACAATTTATTTGAAAAGTCGAATCTCACTCAATTTGGGATTAGTGGAGTTTATCCATTTCTATACATTGTCTGTCACTAATAGAAAGTAAGATTGTAACTTGTTTATCTGAAAGAGAATGAATACTGAAACAAATGTCACAGTATGACAAGCATAGAACTTTAATTGAATGGGTTTGATTAAAAATGCAGCCAGCGGAAGTTCAATTCTGGAAGACTGAACTGCTGCCGCCCGTCTCCTCCAGGCCTGCCTATAGCATCCTTGGCCTATCGCACAGCAAACGCCCATCTCCCGTCAACCAATGCCAGCCAGGTCAGCAACTTAAAAGGCGGAGACACCCACTTCTCGGCCTTCTCAAGCCTCGCATCCACCGCCTCCCTTCCTCCTCCTTCTTGCCCTTCGACTGCCACCACCAGTGCCTAGGTCCCGGGGGGGAATTCATTCGCACACAAACAGGAGCCGCGCTTAACAGTGTCGCACCGGGGCCTAGGGTGCCAAACATTCTTTAATAAAACACTTCAAATTGAGTCTCTCCAGATTGAACTGTGGAAAACCCCCGTAATCCACAGCTTCATAAACATATCCATTCATCTGCCCGTCCATTTTCTGGAACTGCCCGCATGACTGAGCGTCTCACTCCAGCGCTGAGGGCAAGGATGAACACTAATTAGACAAATTACTTCCAATTACTTCCAATTTACATTCCAAGTAAGTAATATTTCTATTCTAGTTGCATCTACAACTGTTACATGTTACAACTGTTACAAAGAGCGATGACGTGATTTCCTGTATCCGGTGAGCGTGTTTCTTGACTGCTATCACTCTGCTCTCTGTTTGCACTAACAAACACATTACAAATCCACGTGTTGTACACCAAGCTAACTGTGTAAGCACTCCGAGTCAGCTGTACTGTAGCTGAGGTTTAGGTAGCGGTTGTTTGTCTGGTCTCTGAGTCTGTTGTGCGGGCCCGGATCCGTACTAGCTTAGCCTAGCCTAGCTTAGCCTAGCCTAGCCGCTAACTCGCTACTATGGCGGCTGCTGTCTCTCCCTCAATCCTTTACTGCTCGAGTTGCCATATGGCGAGTCTAAACCCTGGATCCTTCTCTGAGGGTAGTGATAGATGTGTGAAGTGTAGTGTAGTCGTAGCTCTGGAATCCAGGGTCAGTGAGTTAGAGCTGCGTCTCCGAGCACTGGAGTCTCGAGCTAGCGCTAGCATTAGCTACAGCCAGGCCGTATCCTCAGGGACAGCGGAGCGCAGCTTTAGGGAAAGGCAGAGGAGAACTAGCGAGCCTAGCCTCCCAGCCCGTCCTCCGCAGCTGGGACAAGACCAGGATAGTGATGGCTT